TATTTGTTACTGGCCTGTTCAGGAGTTCTATTTCTTCCTGATTGAGTCTTGGGAGGTTGTACTATTCAATAAATGGTGTTAGGAAAACTAGATAGCCACATGCAGAAGAAACAGGCCACCTATCTCTCATCACTCGCAAAAATTAATTCAAGATGGATAAAAGACTTAAATGTAAGGCATGAAACCATAAGCATTCTAGAAGAAAATGTAGGAAAAACTCTCCTAGGTATAGGGCTAGGCAAAGAATTTATGACTAAGACCTCAATGGCAATTACACAGCAACAACAAAAATAAATGGGATTTGATCAAACTAAAAAGTTTCTAAACAGTGAAAGAAATAATCAACAGCACAGACAGACAACCTACAGAATGGGAGAAAATATTTGCAAACTATACATCTGGAAAAGGGCTAATATCCAGAATCTATAAAGAACTCAAGCAAATCAGCAAGAGAAAAACAAACAAAAAAAACCATTAAAAAGCGGGCAAAAGACATGAACAGAAGCTTTCCAAAAGAAGATAGAAAAATGGCCAATAAACATGAAAAATGCTCAACATCGCTAATCATCAGGGAAATGCAAATTAAAACCACAATGAGATATCACCTTACCCCAGTTAGAATGGTTTTTATTAAAACATTCAAACACAATAGATGCTGGTATGGATGCAGAGAGAAAGGAACACTCATACACTGTTGGTGGGACTGCAAATTAGTACAACCTCTATGGAAAACTTTATGGAGATTCCTCAAAGAACTAAAAGTCAACGTACCATTTGATCTAGCCATCCTAGTAATGAGTATCTACCCAAAGGAAAAGAAATCATTTTATCAAAAAGACACCTGCACTTGAATGTTTATTGTAGCACAATTCACAATTGCAAAGATGTGGAATCAACCCAAGTGCCCATCAATTCATGAGTGGATTAACAAAATGTAGTATATGTATACCCACAGAGTACTACTCAATCATAAAAAAGGATGAATTAATGCCTTTTGTAACAATATGGTTGGAAATGGAGACCATTATCCTAAGTGAAGTATCTCACGAAAGGAAAAAGAAACACCACATTTACCCACTATTAAATTGGAACTAACTGATGAGCACACATGTGCACGTGTAGTAGTAAAATTCAATGGAAATCAAGCAGAGGGTAGGGGGAGGAGGGGAGGGGCAACAAACCTCTATGAACACTATTGGATGATGGGCACACTAATAGCTGTGAGTCAAGCATTACAAAAGTGATCCATGTAACCAAAAACACTTGTATCCCCTTAATATTTTGAAATTAAAAAACAGTATTAAAAAAGAAGATATAAATAACAGTGAAAGCCTGTATTTGTAAAGCTAATTCCATGTGTCAGGTACTGTGCTTAGTGATTTACTTCCCTGATCTCAATGAAATCCTGCCACTACCAAGAAATAGACACTAATATTTCTTTTTAGAGATAGGGAAACCAGCATTAGAGAAGTTAAGTGATTTGTCTAAGGCTATAAAGCTAGTCAGTTGGGAGCTGGGATTCCAGTTCTGATTGAGACCAAAACCCATGATCATCTGACCACTGACAATTCAGTCTCTTGACTCTCCTATTAGGAGTTAGAATAACTTTACAAGAACCATTTTCTTTAACTTGGAAGGTGACAGTAAGAAAATCAACTTGTTTTAAAACTGAGTTAGTGCATTAATGCTGGTATGAGTTCACAGAGCAATCAGCTATAATTGTAATCAGTTTTACAGTTCTCAGACATCTAGTTAATTAAAATCAGCCTTGGTCCTATGTGATGTTAATACCAACATTTTGGTAGGTAGCTCTTGGCAGTTTTCACATAACATCTCCTTGATCATCATACCTTCTACAATCACTGACAGTTCAGGAAAAAAAAAAAAAAAAAGAACACAAGCTTCTAAATGGTGGCTGAGATAGTTACCATCACTTAGTGCACCGATATGTTTTAAGACCACCCCTCCAGAAACTCCCAGACACAATACACTTGCAACACTGATGGCTTCCAACTAACAAAAGTTTTTCCCCATTTAGGGTTTGTCAAAAGCTCAAAGGTAGCATTGAGACTTAGCCTCAAAATCTATCCTTTCCTTTTCCTCTGTAACAATAAGTAATGCTTTAGTGTAAATTATTAAAATACACTTTATAAACAATGCTTTAATTAGAAAATTTTTCAGTATTTAGCACAGATCTTGTAATGTAACAGACATTTGGTACTTGCTGGTTGAATTGAGAAGACAATTCAGAGAGTCTAAATAGCACCAAAGTACCTTCTATTATCTTTAGTCTCTACATTTCAACTGAATCAATTATTGCTTAATGTTTCTAGCCTTCAGTAGCCTCACAAAATCTTCTGAGAAATATGGATTCCCATGGGGGTAATTCCAGAGCTCCAAAAGGGTGGGGGCAATCCACGCTCCTCAGTTGGCGACTACACGTGCAGCAAGCAAATCCGGAACCCTTCCTGCCACCATGGCTTCCTCTGAGCCCTCTGCTCCAAGGTGTGGCCCTATCAATCTGTCTAGTTTGCTCTTCCCTTTCCTGGAAAAACATAAAAAGGGAAGCAGCAAGCTGCTGGCTGTTGTCAGACTGTATAAATTCCTGGAACTGCCTTTTTATTCAGTCAAAATAATGTTCCTCTAGTAACCAAACTACAGTACAGACTGATTCTTCTACCTGCTCCCTCATCAGGAATGCCACTGCCACCTTCCAAGGGAAAATATATTTTTATTTTAATTAAATGAATTAGGTTTTCCAGCAATTTCATTTATATTTTTCTTAGACTTCTACTCCTTAAAGGGAAGGGGACATGGAAAATGGCCTGTAGCTTGGGGATGTATAGTGGAATAGCAAGACTGGCACTTCTACTAAGGAAAATAGCAAAACCAGAGCATAAGGTGACAGAAGCAGGATGTAGTAGAGCCGTAAAGGCAGCAGATTCAGAGACAGAATGTCTGGGTTCAAGTCTACAGTACTTCATCCTAACAGCGTAAATGAGTAGTTACATAATCTCAATATGCCGCAGTTTCCTCATCTGGATTAAAGGTATAATAACCGCAGGATTGTTGTAATGTCTTAGGTGAGACAATCCACATAACACCCACCACATTGCCAGGTTCATCGAAAGTGTTCAATAAATGCCAGTTATTTTTGTGTGGAAATAAGCAAATGTACACAATGAATGTTTGCTGGAATGGTCACTGACTTGTGCATATAGCTTATACACACAATAAAAAAGGAACCTGCAGTGTAGCAGAGTGTAGAAATGGATTGCTCCAGGAAACTTGGAGGTGATGCCTCTTGACTTAAGCCAAATACATTTGGTCTCCTGGAAACTAAAGAAGCAAGATATCAGTGTGAAAATGGCCGTCTCGTGTCAAACAGAACTTCCTCTCTGAGCAAGTCTTTTACCAGTCATGACTAAAGTGAACTGTCAGAGTCTTGTTTCGTTTCCTTTCTTTCCACCACACACCTTGAGCAAGGCCACCAGTTAAAGGCACGGCAATATCCAGAGGGAAGGGGAAATGAGAGGGTCCTCTTCTGAATAAAAGAGATTTAAATAATCTAAGATTTACAGAAATACCATGGATTTTAAAACAAACCCAAAAGTGTAGGAACACTAGATACTAAGTTCAAAATTATCCTTTCTCAAGTTTTTGAAAATGAGAAATGTTTCTATTTTCAACATTTATTTTCTTTCAGATTAGCTGATTTACTGTGTAAGACTAATTCAATGGTATAAATCACCAATTAAACTGTCAGGCAGACTTAAATACATAAATATATTTATCTACTGTGAAAGAAAAAAGAATATTCTGATTGGTCAAATATTCAGGTTAATAGATTGTAGAAAGGTAGTTGTCATTTTTCAAAGAGGCCGTCTTCATCTATAAACTAGCCATTTGTATCCAAAGGATTTATGACAAGATTATCACCTAAGGCCACAAAATCATATTTGATATATTAATAACTGACTCAGGGTAAGGGTATCTTGAGCTTGAGTTCTGGATTTTTAAAGGTGAAGATGCGATGCTGAGAGACTGGGGGAGAAGAGGAAACAGCCCCTCTTCTCCAGGGCAGGGCTAACTTGGAGGAAAAGTATAATATAAATAGTTGTCCTCTGGCACCTTTCAACCTCTTTGTATGCCTATTCCTGGACACTTAGGAGAAAAGAGACTTGATTAAATTAATTCACTTGGAAGTACAAGTGGCTCTTAAAGAAGGATTTTTATTTAAAAAACAAAAGAAAACAAAACTCCCCCAAACCCAACAAAATCAAATGGTCAATACAGGTATGTTACACAGAACCTTTCTAAGTGCAAATATAGCGTGAGGGCTGGGGAGGGTGGTGGAGCACAACATGGTGATACCCAGATACTACTGCCTAGCAAACAGATCCCCCAACCCCCATTTCTCGGTCTGTCTCCTAGGGTTGGCTCCTCTAGTGTCCCAGATTTTAAGGGATTCTTCCTGTCATCTACTTCTGAAACCATGGGTTCCCTAAATCTTAAACCTTTTTTTTGGTAGGGGGTTAAAAGGATGTGGGGAGTTAGAGGAGGTTCATTATTTGTAAATCAGGAACCAAAATGCATGATCGCCTTCACACAAGTGAGATACACTTTCAGTGTGTATTTCCAATGTATGTTTGACAAAAAAATCATCACTCTTTTAACCAATTAAAAAGCAAAAGTTGCTAAATGTTATCTGTACGAAAAATCAATGATAGAATGTGGAAGAGAACTGAGGTTAAGTAGTTTTTCTCTCAGCTTAAATCTACTCTATCCGCTGGGCCAAAGGTACAAATTCCAGGAATTTCACAATGGGACCTTCTTTAAAGATGACTTCCACACCTTAGGACTACAAAGCTTTCTATTTTTTATTTTTCACCCCCAAGAAGTGAAAGTTGAGGGGGAAGAATTATTGAACTGTTCTCTTCAGATGACCTTATACTTTGCTCAGGCTGTAATTCTTTTTAATCCTGTATGAAATGGCTTACCAGATTTTTCAGCAGTGTGGACAGTTCCTTCGTAAGAGTAGAAAACTTGACAAAAGCGGTGCCAAGGTCAGGGTTGTCTCGACTTAAAAAATTACTCCCAAACTTATCAAGAACTTGTGCATAGTTTTCTTCATTTTGTACATGATCTAAAAATAAAAATAAAAAATAAAAAGGAGTCTGAGCTATTATTTGGCACAATGAAGTTATTTTGAACACTGATCACTAGTAACACTCAAAAGGAAAGCATAGAGAAACTGCATTAATTGTTTACTGAATCTTCTTTAACTCTATTAGAGAAGGTTTCCCCCTTTTCTTTTATAGCATTTGGCTCATTTATATTTCAATTAATCTACTGACTCCCCACATATTGAGGGGTCAAATCATCAATGCATTTTCAAACAATTAAAAAACTATGATTATCAGAGAACAGGATAAAATTCTCCTTGGAAAACTAGGCTTGGATTGCAAAAGAAAAATTTCTATGTTCTAACAGATTTTTCTTTGCAACTAATCTTAATTTCCTTGAATTTTGTCTAAGCCCCAGGTCTGAGAAATTAGCATTTGTAAAATGCTTTTCACATACCACCTCTTCCTGCAAAATGTTCAAGCTTGCATCAAATGGATTTGAAGTTTGGTTTCACTACCCATGAGCTGGCTACACCTTATCAGTTTTTTAACTTCCATGCCTACTACCCTAGCTGGCACACAAGAGACATTATTCATATATTTGTGAACAAATTCTCCTCCCTGAGCTTTTGTTTTCCAATCTATAAAATGAGGCTAATATCTACCTTTCAAAATTGTGGTGCTGATAAGTTGACATAAAGTACACAAAAGTTTCCCCATAGAGTGAGTGCTCCATACATAACAACTCCCCTCTCCTTGAAACTCTTTATTTGGCTCCCAGGATGTCATGACTTCTAGAGTGTCCTCTGACCTCATGGCTGCTCCTTTCCATTGTCTTTGCTGGTTCTTCACCTCTCTGATCTCAGGATGCTGGAGAGCTCCAAGCCTCAGTCTTTACACCTTTTTTCCTTCTCTATTTATGCTTATTCTCTTGGGATCTCCCTAATGACAACAATGAAACTGATATCGCCAGCCCAGACACATATTTGACTGCCTATTCAGTACCTCCACTTGGAAGCCTAGTAACTGTGTTCACCCTTAACATGTCTAAAACCAAACTCTTGTTCTACCTCATCCTCTTTTTTCCAGTCTCCTATCTGTCAGGTAATGGCAAAAACACTCCTAAAGTTGTTCATGCCAAAACTCAAGTCATACTTGATTTTTCTTTCTCCTTCCTAGATACAATTCATTGGCAAATCCTGTTGCCTCTATCTTTAAAATATATCCAAAATTAAATGTGACTACTTCTCACCATCCCTATAGGTGTCAGTCAACCTTATCCAACATCATCTCTTGCCTCCATCACTGGTAAAGCCTCTGAACTGGTCTCTTTGTTTTTGCTCTTGCTCCCCTGCAGTCTGTTGTCAACAAAGCAGCCAGCGTGACACTGTTGAATTGCACATCGGATCTTGTGACTCCTGTGGCAGACATTACCACTCATCAAGGATACCCAGGTTCCCAATCTTTGCAGGCTCATGGAAGATGGCTCGCACACAAGGCAACGTGAGTGGGTGAGTGGCAATGTGTACCACACAGTCACGTGGAAGTATTTCAGATGCTTGTGCTCTACTCTCCATCTCCCTCCTCTGCTGTGTACAGAGAAGCATGAATTTGTATGGAGGCCCACAGTAGATACATAGTATTTACTGAATGAATAAATGAACAAATAGTTATCAAAGTTATATCTTTAAATGTTTATTACATGTATTACCTTTCTTTATAAAGTCTCCCTTTAGTTAGAAATGATCCTTCCTTGCCTACAATTCTCTGTACCTTTACTGCAGTATTTTCCACTACATGATATCATATTTAGTAATATATATGCACACGTCTTTCCCTGTCATCAGACCACGAGAGGCAGGGATTAACTCTGGTTCACCTCTGTATCCCCGCCTAACAGACACAACTGTAGATTTTTCTGTGAGCAAGCTTATAAAGCTAGGGCTCAGTAAATATTTATTGACTTGGATTCCTTGAATTCCTCTTCAGGAATTTAAGAAGCATTCCCTTCTGAAATCTGGAGACTGTTCAATAATTGATATGAAATTTTGAAAAGTTTCGCTTTCAAACACACTCTCAATAACTGCATGGAAGCAATGGGTACTTAGGAAACAGAACATGAGTCTGGACTGGGAAACAACCCAGAAGTCTAAATACCATAAAGGAAGTAAGTGTCACAGTGGTCCAATGAAACGAAATGAGGCCCTCGCCAGCCTTCTAATCATCACCCCATTAAAAATTCATGATGTCTGCAGTGGTTGTCAGCATTTCGGGCTGAGATATTAAAAAAGATAAAATGCAGCTTTGGTTACTGCCCAAGTTCAGTCAGAGAAGCAGCTCAGAAAAACACAAAAGAAAGGCCACATCAGCTCAACAGAGAGGATGCACGTTTTGATCTTCCTCATATGCTGGAGCCACCCCTGATGCCTTCTGTCTGAGGCCAATGGGGTCCCACCTCACCATGGAAAATTCTATCTCACTTGATACCCTTTTCTGCTTTTGGAAGCCAGTGAAAAAAGAATTCAGCTGTCCTGTTCATTTTAACTGCTTCCAAGAGAAGCACCTCAGTAATAAACGTAAGTATACAGGCTGTTTGCTTGAAATTATAAAATTTTCCAATAAAATACACAAAAATTTTAGATTAACAGAACACCCATGTACCTGCCACTCAGCTTAAGAAATAAATTACAGAATGAGTCCCCATTCCTCCACTCCTGTCACTCTACCCAATTCCAATCTCCTCTCTCCTTCCTGGGCACAGCCATTATCCTGAATCGAAATTTCATGCAGAAGTTAGAAAGAATTATGATAAGCTCTTAGTCTACCAGTGATGATAGACCCATTAGAAAATAAGACGGACTTAGCTGAAGGATAAGGCAGAGACAGGCCATGGGAAGGGAGCGTTGGCATGTGCTGAGAACCTTCTCTGTCCCAAATACTTTCTACAATGTCATATTTCACTCACCAGAACTCTGCAAGGGAAGAATTATGCCTATTAAGTAGATGAAACACAAAATGTGATGTGAGAGAAGCAGAAGGTGAGACCGCATAAGTTAAGTATAGGCTAGATAAGCACAGGCTAGGTCATGGGCCCTGTATGTTTTGCTGATGCCACAACTGAATAATCATGTAGTCTATATATATTTATGTGCATCTAAATATACACATAAAGATACATATAATTTTCTAGTAAAAATACACATTTTAAAATATAACAGTTTAGTACGATATTAACTGAGGGTATTAATAATATAATCCTATGAGGGTAAAAGTGATGTAAATTAAATATAAGGTACTTAGAATAGTGCCTGGCATGTGGCACCTGTCCCCAAAATGTCAGCCACTGTTGTTACTTCTACATCCATGACTAATCATAATACAGAGAAATGTATGTAGTATCAAACAGCAGGAAAACATATATCTCACACATTTTAAGTGTTTTTTAACGTACTACATTATACAGCTAACCATGACAGTACCAGGAAGATACCTCACACATACACAAAATGAAGGGCTTGTACACAGGATTGAAGCAGACTGTCGACAGGCACACAAGAGTGAGAGGGCAAGGACATGTGATTTTGGTGGAGGAAACGGCAAGGGCCAGAGGCAGAAGGGAGGGACGTATTACAGAGTACCGTAAGCCCTCTGAATGGAATGTTAGTTCAGCGGTACAGGGAAGAGGAGGAAATTGAAGGGTTTGATGGGGAGGCACTGTCACAGGAACGTGCGTGACTGAAGGAGGGGGACTGACAGGGCAGAAAATGGCCTGACCACTTCAAGAGATTTCAGACAGCAGGATAAAGCTGTTTTAAGATCTTTACTATATCCAAGTGCTAAAAGAATTTTGGGAGCATGGCACAGTGGGGGCTGGGGTAAGCAGGTGAGGATAGAGACTGGAAAAAAGGAAAGAACAGAAAAAGAGAAATCTGATCCATCCATTAAGAAGACCCACTCCTTTTCAATGCTTGTAAGAAATTTCTGGCATTCATGGCATTGCTGCAGAATGTAAGATGATTCTGACAGCTAGGTGACTCCTTTCAGTTTAAAAACAAAATAATACAGTTTTACCAACTGGACCAAAAAAGGCCATGACATCAGGATTTCAATTGCCAGCATGTCTGTGGGGAGATGACTAACATATGTCAATCACTGATTAAACCCCTATAGCAATACATCAGTAGTGATTTACTATTCCAGTAATGACAGTGGTAATAACTAGTTTGTTGGGCATTCAGTATATGTTAATTACTATATTAAGCACTTTACATACAGTGTATTACTTCATTCACTCTTACTAACAAGTTGATGAGGTAAGTACTATTATCATCTTCATTGTGTAGACACTAACACTTCCCTATGATCATAAATAAGGTTAGGCCCTTTTGATCTCAGAGATGGGCACTTTTCCCTAGATGGGGATTGGAATATGCCACTTTGGCATGAGGATTATTTTGAGCTGAAGGCAATTTTCCCTTTGTAAGGGTGTTTCTCCCACTTACTCTCCTGTACTGGGAAGAGGAGAAAAACCCTTGCACAAGAGATGAAAAGTCAGCAGCAAGATGAATATGCATAAATGAATCTGATTAAAATAATCTACACCTTCCATGTTTCCTCCATATATTTACTTTCCTACAATTTACTGTCCTAGAAGTCCAAACACCTTTCCCTCTGTCTTGTTATGTCTCCACAATTTATCACTCTTTGTTAATATGGTATATAAGCTCTTAGACTGCTTCTTCGGGTTTTTCATTTTTTTTTTCCTGTGAGGCTTCCTGTGTACACACTAAATAAACCTTTTCTCCTGTTAATCTGTCTTTTGTCAGTTTAATTTGCAGGCTCCAACCACTGAACTTAAGGGGATAGAGGAGAAGGGATTTTTTTTCCTCCCCTACACCCCATATCCTAAAAGTGGGACAGACCTAGGTTCAAATCCCAAGTCTATCACTTACTGTCTGTGTAGTGCCCTGATCAAGTAATTTTATCTTTCTAAGCCTTATCTTCCTCATATGTACAATGG